CCTCCTCCTCCTCCTCCTCTTCTTCTTCTCCACCCTGCCCCCCACACCCAAAGGTTCCCAGGCTGCAGCCCCAGACCGAGGCCTCTTCAGAAGCTCTGCCAACCCTCGACATATCAGATCCTGTAAAAAAAGGGGGAGCTGACGGCACAAGCCGGAGACTCTCTCCTACCTGCCAACATTTCCGTTGGAAATAAGGACACGCTTGTGACATGATGAAATCATTATTCTCGGAACAAAGATCGCCGACTGAGTGCCACCCCCACCCCCCCGTTATACATTCCCGAGGAGGCCTCTGTGCTGCTATATTTGCTTACTGTTCGCTTGCTTCTATTACAGGGCTTTAAAAGCCAAAAGGGGGCTTGTTCTCCTGCTTCAAGATCTGCTATAAAAACATAATGATCGGCTATCAGCCGATCAAAATGAGCTCCCCCCAGCATGTGAGAGGCCCGGCAGAACAGTAGCCGGTGGCTTGATGTTTGCCTGTGTGCCTGCTGCTCAGAGACCGAACTTCTCTCGCCTGCGGAGGAGAAAGGATAAAAGGCCTGGAGTTCACCAGTCTGGCAACCGGCTTGAAAAACGTTTTGAAAAAGCACAGGGGCGATGCGTAATGTACGAGCCTGCTCAGCATCAACTGTAAACAGATGCTCATTACAAGCATGCGGGCTGCTTTACTTAAGAAGAAGAAGAAGAGGAGATTGGATTCATATCCCACCCTTCACTACCCAAAGGAGTCTCAGAGCTGCTTACAAACTCCTTCCCCTCCCCCTCCCTACAACAGACGCCCTGTGAGGCAGGTGGGGCTGAGAGAGCTCTGACAGAAACTGCTCTTTTTCAAGGACAGCTCTTGTCAGAACTACAGCTTTCCCAAGGTCATCCAGCCGGAGCAAGTGGAAGAGTGGGGAATCAAACCTGGTTCTCCCAGTTTAGAGTCCGCGCTCTGAACCACTACACCAAACCACTACACCAAAGAGAAAGTGGGCATCGCGAGCCCAGTCCATTAAATTTCCCAGCACTCTATGTTTGAAGAGGAGGGAAGGCAGCATTCTATATCACGATCTTGTCATCAGTGGCGGACCTACATTTTTGGGACCCTGAAGCTTGAACTGTTGTGGGGTCCTCTTCTCGACCAGCAACCATAGATAGGTATAGATCTATACCATAGGTATAGATAGGGACTCTGAGGCAAGTGATGCTCTGTCTTCTTGGTGCTTGAGGGGGGGGGTGTCAACAGTGGGAGGGCTTCTAGTGTCCTGGCCCCACTGGTGGACCTCCTGATGGCACCTGGTATTTTTGGCCACTGTGTGACCCAGAGTGTTGGATGGGGTGGGCCACTGGCCTGATCCGACATTGGCATCTCTTGTGTTCTTAACCATAGGGCAACATCCAACAAGGTCCAAAGGGCCTTCCTGCCCTTGCAAGGACCTCGAGGCCGAAATGGCAGAGAACTGGGCGGTGGGATGGAGCCCTTGAGAATGGGCCCTACGGTGAGCCCCTTCCCACCAGCAATGAGGTCTAGGTGACCACTGTTACCTTCTTCAATGTTCCATGGCAGATCACCACAATTTTTTTTTAAAAAAATTAACCACTACATCTCAGATTGTAATTAAAATTGCTGTCCTTGGTTATCTTCACGTGTCAAAGGATTCGAGGATCCAGTTGCCAAAATGCAGGCTATGAACAGATTCAGGTGCTGCAAGCCCCCCATTGCTACCATTGTATAGTTTAGACTCAGGTCGGTCACCTGAGCCAAAAGGAAGCCTGAATGTGCAGGCTAAAAAACTCCAAGGATCCTTTGTCCATGTGCATGAATTCTTGGGAGGACAGGACAGTTTGGAAAGAGTTTCCGGAAGGTAGCAAGTTGCAATGCAACTGAGATGGAGAATGGACCAGGCACATGCTTGGTTGATGTAATACGCTGGAACATTCAGAAGCCTTTGCCTGCATCTGACAGGGCGGTCTTGGATCCCTGAAAGCTTCTCCTGGCTAAATTTGGTAGGCTTTGACATGCCACAACAAGTTCCTTTGTGGCTAAGCAGAACTAGAAGCACTGCCATGATTTAGAGTATTGGGACAGGACTGGAGAAATCTGGGTTCAAATCCTGCCCCCATTGGTGGACCTCCTGATGGCACCTGGTGTTTTTGGCCACTGTGTGACACAGAGTGTTGGACAGGATGGGCCTTTGGCCTGATCCAACATTGGCTTCTCTCATGTTCTTACATTCTTAAATCTCCACCATGCAGCGAAGCTCAGTATGTGGCTCTGACCAAGTCATCTTCTCTTGACCCATCCTATGTCACAGGAATGCTGCAAAGATTGAAGGGAAGAAGAGAAGAAGAAGAAGAGATTGGATTTATACCCCGCCTTCACTACCCAAAGGAGTATCAGAGCGGCTTACTACCTCCTTTCCCTTCCCCTCCCCACAACAGACACCCTGTGCGGTAGGTGGGGCTGAGAGGGCTCTGAGAGGAACTGCTCTTGAGAGAACAGCTCTTGTCAGAACTATGGCTTGCCCAAGGTCATCCAGCAGCTGCAAGTGGAGGAGTGGGGAATCAAACCCGGTTCTCCCAGATTAGAGTCCGCGCACTTAACGACTATACCCATGCATACCTCCCAGTGGTCATTGGAGCAGAGATGGAATAAAACCATGAGAGGAACATAGTTTTGACTGCATGGCTACTCCTGAAAATGCCATACTGTCATAGACAGAAAGGTTAGATGCTGATCCAGCCGGGCAATTTCTTACATTCTTTTCTCTTCTTTAACAAGTGCCTTTTCCAGACAGCAAAGGGCTCCGTGTTTCTCTGCCGTTGCTGTGCCAGCCACTCCTAACCACACATCCCCACTGGGCCTACATGGCAGAGGTGCTTGGGATCCACGTTTCCGGCATATCCCGCATCGTTGTGCCTGGCACACACACAGAGAGAGGGTCTGGTCTGCTCCCCGGCCCATCCACTTCCCCTCAAAACCTGCAGGCCCTCCGGGAGCCCATGAGCTCCTCTCCTTCGACTTATCAGGAAAGGCACTGAGGTAGCCCGGCAACTCCCCGGGAGGACTTAATCCCATTTAAGATGTTCTTCCCCCACCCTGCCTGGCTTGTTTGCGCTTCACATGTTTGCCTTCAGAGTCTACTTTTCTGATCCACCACCCCCTGAGCAAACCGTCAGTGCTCCCCAGCCATTCTCACCTGACCCGGCGCATGGAGATTGGCAGGCTTCTAATTCTCTTTTTACATTTCGCTCCGGTTTTCCTTCGTTTGCTTATTTCACGTTGTCCTGATGGTCTCCCTCGCCCCACGCCTCCCTCCTCCCCCTTTTAAGCACCATTTTAATTTCC